ATGAGCAGAAATTACCCTCTAAATGACCACATACCCGCATACTTTGACATTTTATATTTTTCAGGGACACCCCTGGATTCTGAAGCTTTGCAATCTTATTTAACTTTCCACAAGGAACAAAATGATAAATAACATGATAGGATGGCAATACTACATGTATGAGTTCATGGGGGTGCATACATATGAAACACCCTGTACTCTCCGGCTTATCAACCGTCACCTTTAGCTTGAGTGTGGCATTTAACCTTTAAGTTAACGGTAGTGTTCGTGAATATAGTAAAGTCATGAGGTACTATCGTACCAATTCTCTTGAAAATAGTTGTCACTTATCCCACGTATACATTTCTGACGGTCGACGATGTGCTATATGCTATATGCTGGCGTTGCCTCACTCACAAACAACAAACAAATCCAGATTTAATTCTCTGATCGAAACTCATTTGATAGGCAAATCTTCAGTAAGCTTTCTTCCTTGGTCTGTGAATTATACTTTCCTAATTGGTTTGGACTAGCTACTATCAGTTTTAGCTGTGAGAACCGTACATTGTTTTAGTTGTTGGTGAAATAATGAAGAAGGGTGGACGTAAAATTGATGAAAACAGCATTTCATTCATTAATGAGAATACTTAAAACAGCTGATTCTATCCCAATGTAGACTTCCAAAACGTCTTTACTTTTCTCTATTTTGATATTCATTCATTTGCATATCAATAATACCAATAATACTCTATAGTACCTAGGTAGGTCGTTCCGTAAAGGATTTTTAGTACTTTATCAAGTTCTATCGAGATAAATATGATATAGGTCGAATGCATGAATATGTTTGACACAAATCTGTGTATATATATCATGCCCGTAGCCAGCTTTTTGTAAGGGGGGGCTCGAACCCCCCCCCCAAAAAAAAAATCCCCATGCTAAACCAAGCCCCTTTGTATTTGGACCAAAAATAAGAAAATCTATGGCACTTTTTTTTGAAAATTTGGCCTAACATTGAAAAAATAAGGCCCAAATAGGTCAAGTAACGCCCAAAAAGGCCCACTAAAGAGGCCCTACAATATTTTTGGCCCAACATTTTTATCTAGGTCCATCCTAGGGCCGCACGTAAAATTTTTAGGGCCCTAAAACCAAAAGTGGGGCGAAAATTCTGAAAATTTATGGCCCGTTTTTTGAAAATTTGGCCTTAAATTGAAAAAATAAAGCCCAAAAAGGTCAATTAATGTCCAAAGAGGCCCACTAAAGAGGCCCTACAATATTTTTGTGCCAACATTTTTTTCTAGGCCCATTCTATGGCCGCGCGGAAAACCTAGAACCAAAATTTGTGCCTAATTTAGATTTATTGCCCATTTTTTGAAAATTTAGCCTAAAATTGAAAAAATAAGGCCAACTATAGAGGCCCTACAAAATTCTTTTGTCCCAACATTTTTTTTCTGGGCCCATCCTAAAACCAAAATTTGGGCCAAAATTTTGAAAATTTATAGCCCGTTTTGAAAATTTGTCTGAAATTGAAAAAAATAAGGCTCAAAAAGGTCAAGTAATGCCCAAACCGCCAGAAGGCTATGGAACCGCCAGAAGGCTATGTTTAACAAAACACAAAGGACGATCCTAAAAAGCAGAGGGAAAGGGGCACAAATATGTCAGCGAAAAAAGTGGGCCAAATTTTGAAAAATAATGCCCAAATTCGAAAAACAATGCACAGTAATGCCAGTTTTTTAATCTTAATTACCCAGTGAATGTGGGGAAGAGCAAGTTTTTCTTCAAGGAAGCAAAAAGGTAGGTCCACATTTTTTTAGGAGATATCAGGGGGGGGGGCTCGGACGAGCCCCCAGAGCCCCCCCTGGCTACGGGCCTGTATATCGAGATCATTTGTGTCCAATCTAATCAAATATAACTTGAATATTCAGGCACCCATTTTATATGTAAAATCTGATGAGATTACATGCATGGCAATTGCCCACCACATGTCAACTCATCTTAATTCTACTCTTGGGACCGCGTTACCCGTAGTAATAAAACTATGAATGCTTTAAAGACATTAAAGATATTATTGCGTCCTGTTGTATTTTGTAAGATTCGAGATGCCATAGAGCACTGCTAGGCTGTGAAACATCTCCTTTGTTAAACACTTTCGTCAATTTGTCTATAAAGTTATCTTTTTATCACACTTTGAAAAAGTGCTATATTGTCGTCGTCTTGTGCTGTTGGGCGGGCGGGCAGGCGTGCGGGTGGGCGGCACATAAACCAAATCTTGTCATCAAATTTCCAGGATAATTGCTTACCTGTTCAACTTGAAATTTTTACAGATGCAAGAGCAGACTAGTACCAAGATCTGATTAGGTTAATGGCATGCTGGGTAAACTACGTGGCGGCCATTTTGAATTTTTCAACAAATCTTGTCATCAAAATTCCAGGAAAACCACTTATCCGTTCAACTAGAAATTTTTACAGATGCAAGAGCAAGAATATTGCCAAGATCTCAGAAGGTTTTGGGTATGCTGGCTGAATTACATGGTGGCCATTTTGAATTTTTCAATTTGCTCCAAATTGACCCAATTTTTTTTTTAATAACATGTACAAGTTCTCAGAAGTTCAAATCTGACCTTAGATTTCAGATTTGACCTTTCGTTCACCTTCAGTGACCTTGAAAACGTCAAAAAGTTGATTTTCTAAATTGATATTTTGGATTTAAATTTAGGTCAGCTTAATTACAAAACACCTACTGAGGTCTGAAAAAGTGAAATTTTCAAGGTCGAAGGTCAAGGTCATTAAACTAGGTCACAAATGATGTTATCCAAGTTTCTCAAAGTTTGAGACTACAAATCAATTCTTGTCATCAAAATTCCAAGAAAACCGCTAACCTGTTCAACTTGAAATTTTTACACATGCAATAGCAGACTAGTGCCAAGATCTGATTAGGTTTAGGGCATGCTGGGTAAACTACGTGGCGGCCATTTTAAATTTTTCAACAAATCCGTTCAACTTGAAATTTTTACAGATGCAAGAGCAGACTATTGCCAAGATCTGATTAGGTTTTGGGAATTTTTCAATTTGGCGGCCATTTTGAATTTTTCAACTTGCTCCAAATTGACCAAAATTTTTTTTAAAAACATCTACAAGTTCTCAGAAGTTCAAATCTGACCTTAGATTTCAGATTTGACCATTCGTTCACCTTCAGTGACCTTGAAAAGGTCAAAAATTTGATTTTTTAAATTGATATTTTGGATTTAAATTTAGGTCAGCTTAATTACAAAACACCTACTGAGGTCTGAAAAAGTGAAATTTTCAAGGTCGAAGGTCATCAAATTAGGTCACAAACAATGTTATCTAAATTTTCCCAAAGTTCAAGACTACAAATAAATTCTTGTCATCAAAATTGCAGAAAAACCGCTAACCTTTTCAACTTGAAATGTTTACAGATGCAAGAGCAGACTAATGCCAAGGTCTGATTAGGTTTTGGCCATGCTGGGTAAATTGCATGGTGGCCAGTTTGCTCTTCAAAGTGCGATATTTATCACTGTGTGTCTTGTTATACTTTTAAGGAAGAAAATAAAACGAAAGGCCGCTAAGGAAAAAGAAAAAAATCATTTTGAGGTTTGCGTTTACGTTAACTTCATGGATTTCGAAAACTTCGGTATTTTCGAGTATAAAGATAAAGGGTTATAGCTGCAAGAATGTGTTTCGATTATTTCGATAATTTCGCCTGATAGGTTCATTATGAATTTCGAATATTTCGATAATTTCGATTCTAAATATAAACCAACAAGAATGTGATTCGATTATTTCGATATTTTCGATAATTTCGATTCTAGATATCGCTTGATAGGTTCATAATGAATTTCGAATATTTCCATATTTTCGATAATTTCGAGTCTAAGTATCACTCGAATCCAAAAACCTAAGCCCTACCCCTCAACCCTAATGTTAACATTTAGCTCTAAATCTAACCCCTCACCCTAGATTTAACCTTAAGTCCTAACCCTAAAGCCCAACTTAAACCCTTAACCTTAACCCTAATCTTAGCCCTAGCTCTAAATCTAACCCCTCACCCTAGATTTAACCTGAAGCCCTAACCCTAAAGCCCAACTTAAACCCTTAACCATAACCCTAATGTTAGCCCTAAATCCAAGTCCTAACCCTAACGTTAACCCTAAGCCCCAAACCCAACCATAACTTTAACTTACTATAACCCAAACCCCGAGTATTAAGTCTTAGCGCTTGACCTAAATCCTAACTTGAAGCATAAGCCTGTAAGCCCATAACTTAAACCTAAGTCGTAACCCAGAACCCTAACTTTAATCTTAAACCTTCGGTCCTAACCCTAACTTTATCCCTAAGCACTAAACCTAACCATTTACCCTAACTTTAACCCTTAATCCTAAGCCCTTGCCCTCTAACAATACTGAAGAAGTTTGATATCTAACTAAAGAACTGTTACATAGCACTTGTGTTTAATCCATTCTGGCCAAAGGTGCATTTGTCATCTTGAAATTGATTTTCATAAAATTAAAAGTCACAATTTTACAGAACTTAGAACAACGTGCCTCAGGTTTGGCCATCATTGTACTGTAGTCAAATCTGCACAGTTGTCAATGATTCAAATACATTCTTCACCAGATTAGCCTAAATGATACACATGATCTCACTTTTGAGGTCTACAATTCAATTTGGTAATTCGATAGGTGAATGTATATGGTTAAACACAATACATATACAATACATATATGTGCTCTTCTTTGTTTTTTTCTCAATATTATGATGGTAGATAATGCAATGAATTGATGAATAACGAACAGAAAATTCAGAAATGGTAGACAAATTCTGAAGTGATTTTATAAACTAAAATTTTGGAGATAATGGCTAATTCATAATAGATAAATAAATATATACATTTGACGTGCTACTCACAAACAACTTTTTCTGGTTTCGCCCCGGAAATGTGTCAGGTTCAAAATTCTTCCGGAAAGAACCAAATGCAAACAATGATCGAAAAGATAATTCTATGTAAATATCAAACTTTTAAATCATTTATTGAAATGAAATATCCACACGCTTATTACGCACATACTACCCTTTCCGGTGTCAACGTAAGTATAAAGTGTCAGCTTAGATAACGAAGCAAAAAACGGACAAAAAACGGAGAAAATTTTCAGGATCCATTTACACCCTCAGATTCCTCACGCAAATTCTTCCTGAAATAGATTTTGACAAATTCATGACGTAAAGCCCTGCTAGTGAGGAGTGTCAAACATTGTATAATACTATAAAGACACAATACAAATATTGAATATAAGAGATGGAACAGTTGACAGTCATTCATTCGAAACGTTATTTGTACAACCATGTGGAACAATGTCACGAGAACCAAAACGACAACCTCGCTGGCAATTAATTTGTATTCCCACTTGAGATCTTTTCGGCGTGAAGGATGGGCGATACTGAGATGCGGTTGTTGGTTTTGGTGATGCTCTCTGCCAGGATTTGATACAGTAAATACTTTGACTGGCGACTTTGCCGGGGAAATCTTGTTCCATTTGTTAACTTTTTGACAATCCAAAGTCTCATTTCCATTTCTGGAATAAGTTTTATTTAGCCCTTGTTTAGCATTTACTTTTACAAAACTATTGAACGTCACCCCAATGTCACTGATTATTTTGTGCATTTGTGGCTCTTCATTGGGAAGTTCTTTGGCATCTGGCTCATTATTTTCTGATTCACTCAAATCTACATGAATCTGGAATGTATCAACAATGTCGGTTTGCGTATGAACTGGTATGTTTGACTCTGTCTGATGGCCATGCACGTTTTCAAGCTGACGGACGTTTGACGCATCAGCTGGTATGGACTCTATCTGACGGCCAAGCTTGCAAATGTTGGACGCATCGGTTGGTATGTTTGACTGACGGATATCCCAAGCGATCTTAGGAATATTGGACGTCATATGATCATTTGATATGTTCAACTCTGTCTGACGGCCACGTGTATTATTTAGCTTACGAATCTGGAATGTATTAACTGACGCTTGCATGCTTAACTGATTTTGTCTGGTAATGACATTGGGCTGAACATGTACAGTAAAAATCTTCTTCTTTAAGGACCATAACATCTTAGAATGTACAATTACCGTGAGACCAAAACAGCATATGTCAGCAACATTGTCCACCCAAACAAGGTCCTTGTTATCTGGTATTATGACAAGTATTCCACAGTAAAGCCATACTATGACTGACATGACACAAATTACCCACCAGGGAATCCGTATATATGGTTGAGTAATTTTCATCATCCTAACGATTCCAATCAAACAAAGGTATTTCATACTCAACCTGCAAAATGGCAAATATTTCCTCCATGTAAAAGCCCCTGGCAAGTTACATTCGTTAAAGTCCAAGGCCACGAGAATGCCTATTATTAATTCTTTGAGTATGCCGCAAATGTGAACGAAAACTTGTACAAAATGAAATGTATTCTCTCGAATATGCAATCTTTTTCCTTTGTATGATAGAAACAGCCAGTTTATTTGAATGGACATGGCTATGCAGCAAAATATGATAACAACTGCAGAGGCCGTTCTGTTATAATACCCAAATCCACATGTGTCGCTTTGCTCGACTGTTAAATTGTTCTTAACAGTAGTAAAAGCAATGTCCGTATTGCCACGTTCATTCATTTTGCTTTTAGGCTGCAGCTTTTCGTCGAGGTGCCCCACTTTAAATCCTTGAATATTATATTCATGCGGAATAGGACTGATGTGATTCTGGAGAAATGCACTCCCTACTCCAATGATATGATTTGAAGTCTAATTGCTAGGTGAGTATGTAACACGACTCTGTGGGCAGTATTCATTCATGTCATGTGAGTTGACTTGTTAACTATGTGCTAACTGCTCCAAGTTGGTCACTTGTTTTTATATAAAATGGCCAATTACGATGGCATTGAAATTGAAGGAGCTTAAATAAAAACATGTTCCAGAAAGAAGCTAATGGAAGGCCATGATTCTTCACGATGCGTTAGCCCAGCAAGTAGCCAAAGATGCTCCCAAAGGTTTATTATTATTATGAACATATTCAAAATGAAATTAGGCCAGTGGGATTAAAACTAAGCTTTTATTCGCGAATGCAACTTTCGGCTGTCGGCTACCAGATTAACCTACTATTTTATGGGCAACTCATTTAAATATGAATAGTACCTGCGACCATTCCATCCATATTTAAATGAGTTGAGCTTTGTGGAATATCACTTGTGAAAGATGAACAGGTATTCACCGAAAATAGAGTTAAATATTTGTTTTATTATTCACTGTTATATTGCCTACTCACATTAATAGAATGACAAACTAGGATGTAGGACATGGACCAATCAGAGAGTGGGGAATATGACAGTGATATAATAAATGGGCTATATGTGTCAGAAAATCATAAAAAAGACTGATTATTGCCAAAGTAAGAGCCAACGGTTCATTACTTTCTGATCGGCATATAGTGCAATGAGACTTTTTCTGAAACTTTAGTAAAATAAACGTACATTATAACATTTGATTATCTCAACTATGAGTTGAGATCTGTAAACTCAAATGGGTCAACGTAAACTCATGTTGACTTGACAACGTAGAGTATCTATTTATCATCCAAAATGAAAAACGGTTTTGCATAAATTCTCGATGTGTATTTGAGTGTTTCTAGATGTGTATTTGTGTGTTTTATTATGTCCCCACCATATAGTGTGGGGCCATATTGTCGGCCTAGGCGCGTCCGTCTGTTTGTCTGTCTGTCTGTCCGTCCATACGTCCGGCAGTTTTCTCAAAAACCGCTACAGAAATCACCTTCAAATTTTCAGGGATAACTTATAAGTGCTTACAGATGTGGATGAAATTTTTTTTAACTCGATACCTACTTCCTGTCGGCCATTTTGAAGTCAAATGCTAAAATCCTTGTCTGCAAACTTTAAGAAAAACGGCCTTACAGTTGCTTTTAAAACTTTAATATTTTGTTTTTGGACCTGTTAGCTCAGTCATGTCAGCCATTTTGAATGACTTAAGAAAAGTTAGCGCGCGATAATACTTTGTATCATATTGAATGGTCTTTTTGAGTTTTCATACTTTAACTATTTAGTAGCTTTATAAATAATTGTAGGTGTACTTTGTTGTAAAAGCCTATGTTATTGTTAACAGTGGTTATATGTGACAATTTTGTACAAGAACACAAATGTGTACAAAATGTCACCACCAATGGGTGATCCCATCAAATGATTATCCTGAGAATGAGAAGACAAACTTTACTGACACAATTTGAGGACGGAAAATCCAAAATGGCCGCCTTAAATTTACCCAGAATGCCCAAAATTAGTTAGTTCTAGATTTTCATACTAAGAACCAGTGCCACCCCTGAAGATTTGAAATTGATCCATCAAACAGTTAACCACAGAATGCCATAAAGAAAATAAATATGTTTTGCAATGTATCTGGAATGAAGCTAAATTTAGAAAAAACTGAGGCAATAGGGCTTGGTAAATGGAGTGACAAAAATGGCAAATTTCAAAATATACATTTCAAATCTCAACCCATAAAATATCTTGGCATTTATTTTGGATATGACAACAATCAATGTAAGATGAAAAATTGGGATGAAAAAATTGAAGGTATGCAAACTTATTTAGAAAAATGGAAAAGAAGAGATTTAACCATTTTTGGAAAAATATTAATAATAAAGTCACTTGCACTCCCAAAACTTATTTATAGTGCATCTATTCTTCCAATTTCAAAAGATATGATTTTAAAAATAAATACAATACTATTTGGAACGGCAAAGACCGGATTAAAAGAAATATACTATATAAAGATATTTCTGAAGGAGGTGTGAATATGATTAATATCGAAAATCAATTCAGTGCTTTAAAAGCATCTTGGATAGATAGAATTTTCCATCCTGGTGAAAAAAATCAGTGGAATGTTTTACCCCTGTGGAATTTTAATAAAATAACATCGAATAATGAAATACTCCTTAGAATGAATTTTAATTCTGCTAAAGAGATGCCACTCTTATTAAGTATCCCTAAATTTTATCAAGAAGTATTATTAGGTTTCAATAAATGTAAAGACAGAGGGAATAATATAGCTATAAATCATGACAAACTCTGTCAAGAATCAATTTTTGGAAACTATTTGTTTAAGAAAAATAATGGAGAGTGTCTGTTTTTTAAATCTTGGATAGAAAGCGATATTCTTTATGTAAAGGATATTATTGTGAATGGCAATTTACTTAAAGAAGAACATATTTCAGGAAAATTAAAAGACAAGAGAAACTGGATTTCAGAAATATCTTTAGCGAGGAAAATACTGCAACCTTTCGAAAAAATAATGAAACCTAAAATTGCTAAGTTTGTAAAAATTATGAAAGGACAATTTTTTTACACAAATAATAAAAAAGTATTCTTCAAAGATTAAAAATCTAAGTTTTTCTATAATATCCTAGAATATCATAACAAAGAAAGGATGTACACTAAAGATAAATGGAAGATTGATTTTAAATTTCACATAAATTGGAAAATGTATTTTAATAACAGGATTATAGCAATTGTTGAGAAAAAGGTAGCTTACTTTAACTTCAAATTATTTCATAATGTTCTTCCATCTTCCATAGATCTTTTTAAGTGGAAAAAAGCAGATTCAAAAATTTGCAATTTTTGTAAGGTTGAAAATAATTTAAAACACATTATTTTAGAGTGAGATCAAATAAAAGACTTGTGGATCTATATTTCTTCAAAATTAAAAATTAAAATTTCATGGAAAAATATTGTTATTGGCAATAATATTATTTTTAAAAGAAGTCATGAAAATGTCATTGATCTTATAATATCAACATTTGCATAACAGCTATAAATCATGGCTCATTAGCAAAGAAAAAAATTGTCCAAGATTTGGGAGGAACACATTATATTATTCAATCGCACACCTATATGTATTTATGAAAAGTCCACCTATGAAATTAAAAATATTAAATCATATATACAAAAATTAAAAGAATGAGGTGTTCATGCCGCAGTCTTAGGCAAACCTTTATTTGTAACCCCACTATCCATTCTTTGGGGAAAATTGTACTTTCTATTATTTTGGAATAAAAAAAAAAAGTTAACCAGAAAACATGTAAACAAGACTTAACAAACAAGATTTTAGAATTGAAAATCCAAAATGACTGCCTTGACATTCACCCAGAATGTCAAAAAACTTGTTCAAGATTTTAATACTAAGAATCATCCTTGAAAATTTGAAATTGATCTACCAAACGGTTCACCTGAAAACGCGTAGACAAGACTTTACAGGCAAGATTTTAGGACGGAAAATCCAAAATGGCTGCCTTGACATTTACCCAGAATGCCAAAAAACTAATCAAATTTAGATTTTCATACTAAGAATCATCCCTGAAAATTCGAAATTGATCTACCAAACGGTTCACCTGGAAACGCGTAGACGAGACTTTACAGGCAAGATTTTAACACGGAAAATCCAAAATGGCTGCCTTGACATTTATCCAGAATGCCAAAAAAATAAGCAGATCTAGATTTTCATACTAAGAATCATCCCTGAAAATTTGAAATTGATCTACCAAACAGTTCACCTGTAAATGCGTAGACAAGACTTTACAGGCAAGATTTTAAGACGGAAAATCCAAAATGGCTCCCTTGACATTTACCCTGAACGCCAAAAAACTAATCAGATCTAGATTTTATTACTAAGAATCATCCCTGAAAATTTGAAATTGATCTACCAAACGGTTCACCTGGAAATGCGTAGACAAGACTAAATACAAACAAGATTTTTAAGACGGAAAATCCAAAATGGTTGCCTTGACATTTACCCAGAATTTCAAACCATGAAACCAAGAATGTTTGATATTTCTACTAGAATAGTTCGAAGTTTTCACATTCAATCACTTGTCGAACTTAAAACGGTATGCTGCAGTTCGATGATGTTCAACTGAAATAATCAGTTTACTTTGTTCATTTGCTCGTGATAATATCCTGCTTATTAGGTCAATTAATACATTATGCACATGCATAATGCTGATTAATTAATGTTATTAATGAGTGGCACAAGAGCAAGTAATAATGTACTATGGATCAACTGGAAATGAAGACATGATGTCTTCGTTTCAGCATGGCCGACTTCCGGGAGAAGAATTTGGTAAGATTTTTCGTTTTCTTGATTTTACCATTTTTATCATATACATCTAACTAAATCCTTAGTAAAGTCCTTAATTTTTGGACATGGCCTTGTAAATGATAGTTTGTCTTTGTACTTCTCTCCAGTGGCTGCCATTGGAGCTTCTGATATAAGTTGGTACGACGCCAAGCTCCATTCTGTAGCCAGCATGGCACAAAAACCAAGCAGCTTGTCTACGAACCATTTTTAACTTTCTGATGTACTTGTTCATACGTGGGTCCCATACTGAAGATACATATTCCAGATAGGGACTGACACTCTCTTTATTTCATAAAGTTTTTATTCTACTTTTATAAAGGTTTCAGTCTTCATGCAGTTCCACTCCAAGGTAGGTGTATTGTTCAACTCAAACTAACTCTTGGTTATTGGTGGTATAGTAGTGCATTATTGGGCTTCCTTTGCTCAAGATGTAGTACTTCTTGGCATTGAATAGCATTTGCCACGTGTCATACCATTTGTCAAGGCTGTCTAAGGTTGTCAGGTGTCAGACCATTTGTCAAGGCTTTGTAGGTCATTCTGAAGCTCAAGCAAAGTCATCGGTGTTAGATGACGTGTCATTGCCGATGTCGTTGATATACAGGAGAGCAGATCTAAATTGTTAGTAAGATCCTTTATTTTTGGACATGGCCTTGTACATGATAGTGAGTCTCTGCACTTCTC